ATATTGGCCATGTCCTTGATGTGTATTTGCTTCGCTATGGTTTCCCAGGTTTCCGCTCTCTTCATTCGTCGCAAAGAAGCGATTGAAAAACTGGTTGAGTTCAAGGTCGCCTTTCCTTTTTTTGCTGAAGTCGTGGCAGCAGGGATGTACCCCATTGGGTCAACCATGTGATTCGTTAATGAACAACTTGATTTATTCTAGACAGTCCGGTTTTTGTAAGCATCATGGTTCCTAGACTGCTCTGATTAAAAAAGTTGATGGGCTCTTATTAATTTTGGACAACAGCAGAGTCAGTGGAGTATTACTTGTTGACTACTGTAATGCGTTCGACATGGTCGACCACAATTTATTATGGCTGAAATTAGAGGAGGACGCCTATATACCGAGCCAGGACTCGACAATTTTTCGCTTTCTCGCCATTTTCACGTCCTGCAAGTCCCATGACCATTAAGAGGAGGGTTTTTGTGGCAATCATGGAAGGAAAGCTCGAGTTAGGGTTAGGGTTAGGTTAGGGTTAGGGCTAGTATTAGGGTTAGGGTTAGGATTAGTGGTAGGATTAGGAGGTTACGAGTTAGGTTAGGAGTCCTTTTTGTTGCTTTTTTTAAAACTTTCGTTTATTTGTTTATTAATTATTTTTATTTATTTATTTATTTATTTTGCTTACAGAAAGATTAGAAAAGTCCTAACTTGAGTCCAGGCTCGAAGTCCTTGCTCGAGTCCTGGCTCGAGTCCTGGCTCATGGCGTTACGAACAGAGCATATAATTGGTGTCATTCTTATCTTTCTGGTAGACGTCAGCTGGTCTGCATTGATGGCAAGGAATCGTCTTTGGCGTGTGTAAACCATGGAGTACCACAAGGATCTATTTTGGGTCCTCTTTTCTTCATCTTATTTATCAAGGATTTGCCACTTTTTATTATAATGCAGGGGAGGGGTTCCATCAACCGCCACCTCCCCCTACCCCTTGTACCACGGTGGGGGTATGACTTTGCGTGTACACCCGAGGGTTCAGTGCGTGTTTAGTTTACAATATATAATAGCCTTACGTTTGCGTTGATTTGCCTTCGTATTGAAGTCAGACTTTGAGCTAATATCACGCTCATGATAAGGTCGCGCTTCTCTTATCTGGTCTCAAGGATTCATTACTCCGCGCGTAAAAGTAAACAAAAACAAGCAAATAAACAGAGGTTTTTTTGTCTTGATTAATAACAGAAGCATTATGTTCTTTACCTTTGAGTTCCTATGTCTTAGTTATTTCGTTTCTTTTGTTTTTTGTTTTTATTCTTCTGATTGTTTTTTTTTAGTATGGTATTTTTAGTATAGTATTTTTTTAAGGCCTAGTATGGGAGTACTAGATATATGCTGTGTGTATCAGGCGGTCAACTGATGAAACATCCAACACTAAAAACACGGTAACACACCAATGGGCTACGAAATGGCCCAGTAGTACCTTCTTGAAGCTGAAAGTGACTCAAACAAGGTGTGGGGGGATATAGGGCGTACAAATCGGTGACAGTCACGGCGCTCATCTAATTGACGAAAAAGAGATCCGGAGGTCATTCTGCCTCTTGGAACCAAAACATCTTATATCTGTAATCGGAAACGTCAAATCATACAGTTTTGGTGCTTTATAAGCAAAAAATGAAGGCTGATAAAAATTAATCAGACTGGAGCATTCTGTTATTTACCCGATCAGATGAAAAACAGTTGTAACCTAGGCCGAGGATGGGGGATGGGGGGAGAGGGTGATGACCAATTTAAAAAAAACTTGCAGCATCGGAACTTTTTAAAAAGCCTCAGCGAAGGGACAGGAAGAAGTGGCTTGTGGTTTCCTAATCAAATATTGACCTCGGAGGTCAGTGTTTAAGGGGAAGGGTTTTTTTCAGAAAGCTTTTTTACATCTTGGACATCAACAGTCACAGTAATACTTCAGTCTCGTTTACTTTATATTTAGTAGTACAACATAACAAGGCTGAAAGTTACGTCAGAAACTGAACACTGTATCACGCAACTTGCCCAGATTAGCTACAAGCAGTTGACGTAATCAAGTCGACGTAATAACGTAAATGAATGCGGAGCCGCTTCTTAAAATAACCATGGCCATGCTTTACGTCATTGGCCTGGAAAACACCCCACCTTCAGGTAGCTAAAAATTCGTCAGATTCCTGCTAGAATAATCCCAGCTTAAAAGATTGAGGTACATATAACTTCTTAGCGCCTAACCACGGAACGATGGTGAACAAGTGCTCTAAGACTGAACTGTTTGATCAATGCACAGCCTTACTTTTACAAAAAATTAGGTTCTCCAGTCAATAAAACATTAAAAAAGAGTATCACTGTTATCAAGCAAATGAACTATCTGAACCACAGTTCGGGTACTTATATAAGATAACAACAATATTATAAGAGGGTCATGAAGGGGGGTATACCAAATCCCATTCCCAGTGGTTGTTTGCCGGCAAGTGAACAATCTTTCTCTTGCAACTCTTGTTGGCACAACTATATTAAAAATACTTCTCTCAATCTCACTTTCAACATCTTCATCCGACTCACGCACTATCTCTACTTCGCCGCGTCAGTAGTTGTCACGGTTCAGTCGAAATCAGTTAAAGATTATAGTTCGCAATTTTCTGTGCGGATTACCGCATTCAAGTTGTTTGCTGAACTCAAACATTTCGAAGACCATAATTGTACAAAGTGCGGGAAACATTTTTTAAGTCAGACGCCATTTTGATCTTTCTCAAATGGGCATGTCATTTCAGCGACAACAAACCATTGAACAGGGAAGCTGACAGAACTTCATTTATGCATTGCTATACTTTGGTTTACTGATGCATGATTGGATTTCTCCATTTTCAAAAGTAGGCTTATTTGTGCAAAATTGTGTCAAATGATTGAGTCCAAGTCCTCTAAAGAAGAGAAGCCACACTGCCATTTTTTAAATTGTTCATGCCTTTCCCAGCGCAGTAAATCCCATTTTCCCAGTCCAAAAAAAAAGAAATCCCAGTTCCTATTTTACCCCTTCAGGACGCGCTTATAACTTCTATGTCACTCAAGGAATAGAGGTTACAGTTTTAACTCAAATGGTATTTACTAACTTACTAATCAGGCGCACCCAACGACAGCTTTATCACGAAAATCAGCTCTGAAATGCCTCTTTATAGACTTCCTGGGGTGTTTTAAAAGCAATATAAATGAATAATTCACATCGCTATAAAAATTTTAGGCATACTAGAGAGCTTCGAACAGACATTTCCTAGAAAACGGTCGTTAGGTGCCCCTGACTAATCTGTTGCGATGCACTTTAGTTTGGAGACGCTTCCGTTTATAACCCGTTTTGGCCTTCCATCCAACGTCATCCACTAGGCCAAACTTTAGCGTTTGAAGTTCGTGAATGTATTATCCTTTGACAAAAAGGCATATTTATTTGTCTGGACGAAGTAAATTTTCCGTCAATTTGCCAATTTCCTTAGTTGTTACGCAAACAAAATGTTACACTAAGCACAACAAGCTAAGGTATGAAAAATCATTTAGGAAACCGATTTTAACACTTTCAGGGTAAACTCCCGAGAGTTAACGCTGAAAAAACTAAATTTTACGTAAAATACTTTTAACTATATGTAAAGTATAAGAATATATAGCAAAATCAACGGTCCAAAACTGTAGATATTTTATGCTCTATAGATTTGTTCTAACGCAATGATTAACTGGAGGAACACGTGCGTAAGTGAATACTATTTGAGAAACATATTTCAACATCATTAAAGGAAGAAAAATTTTTCTATCGGCTAATTCTGCCTCGCTGCAATAGTTTTAGGGAGTAAAATAGTATAATATTCACTTTCTACGGTTACTCGAAACCTTTTTTCCTCAGGGAAAATAAGACTTTGATATTATAATGTTCCTTTGATTCAGCAGTACTCTTTCTTTGACATCTCACAGAAAACAGCACGGCCCCTGTAAATAAAGTAACATTTGATTAATTAATACGCTTGAACAGCGAAATCACGGCCTCAATACTACTCGTTCTATAGAGGTTTTAAGATAAAAAGCCGTAGATTACAGTATAGCAAGGATGAGACGAATGTAAAATCAAAGTTGGGCAGGAGCTCAAAACTTTTCATTATTTTACAACAAGAGAGTATGTTAGAGCTACTTGTATTATCTAGCTATATGTTGTGTACACAAAAATGGGTTTTTAGAACAATTATGGGTCTATTTTCTTCCTATTTTACCTCCTTTTCTGCTCACAACAAATCCTAATTGGACGAATATAACATTTCTCTTTTGAATCGGGTAAATTAAAATGATGGCTTAATGGTAGTTCAAACTAAAATGTAAGGAAAAAAAAAGAATTCTAAACGCATAATTCAGAGCCAGTATGTCACGGTAACAGCCATTTACAGTGAATACTGATTTTGTACTTAATTATGATTATTGAAAGGTCCCTAGCGTTCAACAAACGTTTTTAAACAGTTTTGTATTACAGAAATAAATCTGATTACGTAAATCCAGAATGATTTCACATCAACCAACCATCCATATTATTTTTGTCAATATTATTCACACTAAGTCTTATTTTATTTAATTTTTCAGTTCCTTTACATTTTAATTTGAGAACAATAAAAACTTAACCCTTATTTAATATATTAAAACCCTAAGTAATCTAAAACAAAAGAAAAGTCTGTACTTACAGCTTTCTCAACGGTTTCATCAAATTCTATCGTGACATCATCGCCAATCAGCACAAATGGAGCCCAGTACTTTGGGGCGGAAAAGTCGTCCGAATCTCGAAGGCATTTCATGGCCTTCTGCAGAGCAGTACTGGCACTTTCTCCAACTCTCAGGTGTTGGTAGAAACATTCCATAAAAACCATTGTGGCTTCGTCATCAATTGCCCAGAGTGACGCCAGCACAGAACGAGCACCAGCAAACAAGAAAGCCCTTGCCATACCGACCACACCCTCAGACGAGACCTCTCCTTGACCACTATGGCAGCAACTAAGAACCAACTAGCCTCGCTGTCAGCTTAATGGCCTGTAAATCAGACATTTTCAACATGTAGTCCTCTTCCGTAGGGATACGAGTCTTGGATTGCCACCCGGGGTTGGGAGCCAAAGCAATTTCACCAGTTTCCTTTCCTCCGTGTGCTGCAATGTGAATCAAAGCGACTGAATCTATTCTCCGAAACACCTCTTCTTTGGTTGCAGCTTCCCCTGTGAGTGGTTGGCTGTTAAGAAGTTTTCCAATCATCTCCACCTCTTTTTTTGCGAACTTCAGTTGATCATAAATGGGAATATCTCTTTTATTTGTAACTTTCCTCAAACATGGATCTCCAACAAGCAGGGCGCCAGTTTTACTGTGGTATTCACTTGAAGAATCTCTTATTACTTTCAAACTTGTCAGTGAGGGAATAATACGGATCCTTAAAGTTTCACTTAGGGCTGTCCATGGAGCTAAACACAAAGCGCCGTCAGGAACTACAACCAGTTCCTCGCCATCAAGTAAGTCTTCAGTGGGACCAAAAACTATATCATGCAATGGCTGTAACCAGTCGATATTCTCGTGCGATGGAATCGATATTTTATCATCACCAAGAGTACTGGAAGTTGACTTATCGCTTAAAACATCAAGTGACCGATTCTCGCATCTAACATCTCTGCCAGCCCCAATTTTTTTCAAAGAAGCTTTCAAAAGTGCATCAAAGGGATCTTCGTGTGCACTTCCACTATTTAGTACTGATTCCCTAAAAATAGCGTTGGTTTTCTTTCCCAGTACCCACAAGTTTATTGTTTCTTCGTCCAATGCAATAAACATTGTCAAAACAGATATGTTCCTTGAAATGCATGCGAAATCTTCCTCAGTTTCATTTGAAATGGGCGAAAGGAATGTAAGGCCATACTTTATTTTCAAGGCATCTAGCAAAGCTGCTGCTCGTCCCCGTTCGGCCGAGTACAAAGCCTCATCCGTCTTTTGAAGCGCTATAAGAACTCGACATAAATAACGATAGCTAGATACGTAAAGCTCATGAAAACTTATTTTCAATGTATCTTCCGAAATGAAACTAGCCCTAATAGTATCAAACGCTTTTACGCTGAATTTGAAATTACCTACAGCCTCATCCAGAGAACCTAACAACATATGAGCCATACCCAAGTACTGATAGGCACGTCCTTCTAGGAACATGTCAGCCACTTCCTTAGCAATTTTGAGCTGTTGCTTGTAGTACTCGATTGCTTGTTGGAATTGTTCAAGGGATAAATAAGCACAGCCGAGATTGTCATAAGTATATCCCTCTCGGGACCTGTTGCCCACTTCCTTAGCAATGCTTAGGCTTTGCTTATAATGCTCTATTGCTCCTTGGAAGTCGCCGAGGGATTTACAAACTAAGCCGAGACCGCCATAGGCCCTTCCTTCTTCATTCCTGTCGCCGACTTCTATTGCAATGCTAAGGCTTTTCTTGTGGTGTTCCCATGATTGTTTGAAGTCCTCGAAGGATAAATAAGCATTGCCGAGATTGCCATAGGCACGTCCTTGTCCGGCCCTGTCCTATTGCAATGCTCCCTGGTACTCTATTGCTTGTTGGAATTGACCAAGTCTGCGATAAGCCCTCCTTGTCCGGCCCTGTCGCCGACTTCTATTGCAATGCTCAGGTGTTGCTTGTGGTACTCTGGAATTGCTTGTTGGAATTGGCCGTCCTTGTCCGGCCCTGTCGGATTCTATTAATGCATTGCCGAGATTGTTGGAATAGGCACGTCCTTGTCCGTCCTTGTCCCCTGTCGCCGACTTCTATTGCAATGCTCAGGTGTTGCTTGTGGTACTCTATTGCTTGTTGGAATTGGCCAAGGGATTGATAAGCATTGCCGAGATTGCCATAGGCACGTCCTTGTCCGGCCCTGTCGCCGACTTCTATTGCAATGCTCAGGTGTTGCTTGTGGTACTCTATTGCTTGTTGGAATTGCTTGTTGAATTGGGATTGATAAGCATTGCCGAGATTGCCATAGGCACGTCCTTGTCCGGCCCTGTCGCCGACTTCTATTGCAATGCTCAGGTGTTGCTTGTGGTACTCTATTGCTTGTTGGAATTGGCCAAGGCATTGATAAGCAATGCCGAGATTGCCATAGGCACGTCCTTGTCCGGCCCTGTCGCCGACTTCTATTGCAATGCTCAGGTGTTGCTTGTGGTACTCTATTGCTTGTTGGAATTGGCCAAGGCATTGATAAGCATTGCCGAGATTGCCATAGGCACGTCCTTGTCCGGCCCTGTCGCCGACTTCTATTGCAATGCTCAGGTGTTGCTTGTGGTACTCTATTGCTTGTTGGAATTGGCCAAGGGATTGATAAGCATTGCCGAGATTGCCATAGGCACGTCCTTGTCCGGCCCTGTCGCCGACTTCTATTGCAATGCTCAGGTGTTGCTTGTGGTACTCTATTGCTTGTTGGAATTGGCCAAGGCTGCGATAAGCATTGCCGAGATTGCCATAGGCACGTCCTTGTCCGGCCCTGTCGCCGACTTCTATTGCAATGCTCAGGCGTTGCTTGTGGTACTCTATTGCTTGTTGGAATTGGCCAAGGGATTGATAAGCATTGCCGAGATTGCCATAGGCACGTCCTTGTCCGGCCCTGTCGCCGACTTCTATTGCAATGCTCAGGTGTTGCTTGTGGTACTCTATTGCTTGTTGGAATTGGCCGAGATTGCAATAGGCATGTGATCGCCGAAGCATTGCCGTGGACTCTATTGCTTGTTGAAATAGGGATTGATAAGCATTGCCGAGATTCCATAGGCACGTCCTTGTCCGGCCCTGTCGCCGACTTCTATTGCAATGCTCAGGTCTTGCTTGTGGTACTCTATTGCTTGTTGGAATTGGCCAAGGCGAGATTGATAAGCAATGCCGAGATTGCCATAGGCACGTCCTTGTCCGGCCCTGTCGCCGACTTCTATTGCAATGCTCAGGTCTTGCTTGTGGTACTCTATTGCTTGTTGGAATTGGCCAAGGCAGTGATAAGCAATGCCGAGATTGCAATAGGCACGTCCTTGTCCGGCCCTGTCGCCGACTTCTATTGCAATGCTCAGGTCTTGCTTGTGGTACTCTATTGCTTGTTGGAATTGGCCAAGGCTGTCATAAGCATTGCCGAGATTGCCATAGGCACGTCCTTGTCCGGCCCTGTCGCCGACTTTTTTAGCAAAGTTTAGTTGTTGCTTGTGGTACTCTATTCTATTCCTTTCAGTCATTTAGCAGTTCCTGTATGAAAAGTGTGGCTGTTCCTTGATGGTAATATACCTAGAAAAGGAATATGTAAAGTTATCATTATTTCCTGTCTGCCACTTTTCTGTTTTCTTTAGAGTTGCGCGCGTTAATGTGAAGAAAATGCAGAAAAGTGCTTTCTAACACATGTTCAACGGAAATTAGTTTTCTGGATCGGACAGACAAAAATTTAAAACCTTCTGCACTCTAACCCACATATTTTAATCTTACTGATGCCCTTGCGAACATCTTTTTTTAATTAAAACAATGGCCAACCAAAGGTGAGAAACGGGAGCAATGTCAGTGGTACCGAAACAGTCACGTGAGGATTGAACTATTTTCTTACGTGAAAGTTTTTGTTTATCCAAGAAATTTTCATAACCACTTGGTACGTGAGTAAACGATCTATTGTTTTCTCTCTTAGAATACGCTTTTTAACGGCTTAAATTAAAGTCCCGTCTACACCAATCGGGTTATTTTTGTAACTGCACAATTATATGTATTTTTTACCCTGATTCGTGTGGAGGGGGTCTCAAACCTGTCTCTGGAGGGGGGTTTCAACAAGATGCCTTCTTGGATAGTGGATCTACTGGTTTCTTGTGAACGAATGGCCGATTTGTGTAAAAAAAATGGGGTTTCAAAAATAGCAAGATTCGTGTGGACGGGACCTAAACTGGCGTTTTGTTTTTGATGCAGATCACAAAATGGCTTCATACTGGATCCTTTTTGCTTTTCCGTAATAATTGTCACCGCCGTGAGGGTACAGTTTGCATCTAACTATTCCGGGTATTGTCTCCAAGTTTTATGTTTACATTAACGGCACTAACTAACAATGCATTTGAAATATGCAGAAATCTTAGTTATTGCTTTGCTTTAAAATATGAAACTTGGAGACAGTACCCCCTAAACAATGAGAAACTTTCACTTGTAAACACGAAATTTTCGACAAAGTAAAATAGCGAATTGAAGTCCTTATTTTATTACCTTACAAGTTATCAATAACATTGAAGCTGAAGGGTCATATAAAATGATGGTTAATCTCGATAATCTCAAATTTTTAAAAATATTTATCGAGCGGTTTCAAATTTATTTGTTCATTTGTTAAAGTAGACCAAAATATTTAGAAAACGCCAATAAGAGCACCTCAATGTATTATCAAATCCCTCTTTCTTACGAAAGGCTTAAGACGTTCCCATGCTACTTAGAAACACGTCTAAAAGTGAATGAAAGTACTATGAGCCAGAACTGCATTTCAAAATCGCTTCGTTTTCTAAAGATAACGGCGAATACTGAATACTGAATACTGAATTTCTAACCACAAATACTTCATCCCAAAATATCTATACGCTCTCATAGATTGCAAAGGTCCTGATTTGAACTATTTCGGTCGAAAAGTTGGTAGGAACTTCATGTAAGCCTTACGTGTAATGTCCTGAGACGTACATGGCCTTACATGTCGATGACGTCACAGGTACGATAGCAGTTGTGTAGTTATTCTAGTACAGTTACTGTGCTGCCTGTAGTCTTTGTAGTTCCTGTAGTTATGTCAATGTAACCCGGCTGATCATGACAAGATTTTCATCTTTATCTGATACAGTTTTTGTCAGTTGTGACGTAGTTAATGCTCAAACATGGGAGGTATTAACCCTGAAAAACCCCATCGAGCCACCTTAAGAGAATGTACAGTGAGTAGCTCTTCCCCCTCCTCCACTTCCCCTGTATATAACACGCTACATTGTTTTCTTTAAACAGCAAAGATCTTGAAGTTACCAGGATAACATCACTAAGTACAAGTCCCAAGTACCGTACTGCTGTCTATCAACAGCGGCACCCAACGACGGTTTCCTCCAAAAAACGTTATTAGATGTCTAGAAATACATTCTAAGCGGCGCTACAAAATTTTAATCTGTTTGGTCATCCTAGGGGAACTTAAGTCTTTTCGAAATAACGAGGACTTCAGTATTATTTTCCCGAAAATTTTAGGTGCAATTTAACGTTTAACGAAAGGGAGAATTTTTCTGATTCTTCTCTCCATCACATTTTAGAATCCGAAAATTTTAGGTTTCCTTTTTCTAAGAAAAATAGTGTAACCTGGGTAGTAAAATATGAAAAATTAAACTTCAGAAAATCTTATGGAATTTGTTAGATAAGCTTCGAAAATTGAACATAAATGGAACGTTCATTTAGAAATTTTTAGCCGTCCTCAAGCAAAAGAAAATTCTACGCAATATTTGCTTCTCCAAACACATATTTTACAAAAACAGTCGTTGGGTGCCCCTGTATCAACAGGTAGTTGAATAAAACGAGTTTTAAGTCTTGAGACCTGTGGTTCAATGTTTTAGACAAAATAGCCCAAATGCTCAATTTTAACCCTTTTTGTCAGGGCCACTATCAGTGACTTTGAAATGTTGAATCACCAACGAACTGTACACTATCTTTGGGACCTTTGGATCATCTTCAGAAAATCGTTTCGGGGCATGAAGGGCCATAGCGAGAGATTTTGAAGATGTACGCGCACTCCAAAATAGGGAGTCTGGGCGAATGTTTCCCAGAATGTTTTTAATTGAAAGTCTCAGAAATGCCATTTCTTGCGTTTCCCGCATAACATTTTTAGTAAATAGGTACGAAGAACAATGCAGTAGGGGGGCAGGGAAGGGTACATTTTTTTCGTTTTCCATCCCACTAAAACGCTTCTTGCCGTCCGTTTATGAAATAAGAAAAGGATAAAGGAAATATTCAAACAAAGACACCCATTAATACGAAAAAGTAAATAAGTCATGCGATTAAATGATAAAAATGCTTTCAGGAAATTTAAAAACATTCTTTTTTCCAGATTTCGGCTGTACGCACGGGCGTATGTGCGCATATGGACGCTATGCTCCTGCAATGTTAGTCATTATTAAGCCCAGCACAGTATATAGTAAAAAGATTCACGCTGCATTGACAGTCGTTGTTTAACTTCATTAACTTTTTGAGAGTTCTCAATTGACCATAATAGCGGAGCTTCACGCGCGCGGGTAGAGCCCCATAGCTAAGAAAATTTGGTTATCTATCCATGTGAGAAAATTTGGTAGTCACGTGATCGTACGCCCGACCGTCCGTCCGCACTACAGGGAAACCAATGTTAAATTTCACACCTTGTAGCTAGTATGGGAGCCTGCAGCCTGGTATTGCACATTCATGTTGTGGCCAACTGACAGCTGTCAAAACAGGGTATCTTCTGACCAGTATCACATTACCGTATCGCAGGCTCAGGTGTCGACTCATTTTGTTTGAGTGTTGGTTTGAAGTTATCCCCTGACAACTTACTAGTTTTCAAATGAAGCTCAAGTTCAAGTTTTTAAACTTCAAGGGAAAAAGTTGTGTTAATGAGTCGGTCTATTAACATTTTGATTGACTCCGGACGCGAAAATTCAGCCACTTTTTACAGGCGGGAAGGCAGTTGCTTTTGGCTTTTCTCACCATGGTCGCTTATTGGTCACGCTCTTCGTCCCGTTTTCATGCTCTGATTGCTCAAAATTTGACAGGTTGGTTCATGCGGAAAGTTTATGCATTATCTGGAAACTTATTTAGTGATAGCTGAAGCTGATAGTTTTCTGTCATCTGATTCTTGTACAAAATGAAAGACAGCTGCTATCAAGATTCTTTTGTTATTCTTGGCTGGTTTGTTTATTGGGTTTTTGGTTGAGAAATGCGCCGCTTTTCCGAGTCATCGGAAATCCGTCTTCTGATGGCATCGTTTTCAAAAATGAGCCTCTACCTAACCTTGCTGGATGCGTAGGAGGGTTGAAAAGTCTGAGGCGATTCTGGCCTTACTTGGTGGCCTTCAGGAGCTGCATCTCGACTGGTAAGCCTGAGTAATTATTGCATTTGATGTTTTTTTTTTCCTGGTAATTTCATAAAGTCCAGCGTAGTTTTTTGCGGCAAGTTTTTAAGATTTGAGACAATGATCTGACCTAGTATCATGCCAGGTTTGATATACAGAACTTTAAAAGCCTTTACATATTTTCTGACTGCAAACAGAGGGAAAACGTTCTGAAGAATGTTGGTTGTAAAAAAGGAAAGCTTTGAGCGATATTCTTGCCTCGAGTTCATATTGAAAAAGTAGCAAACACCTGAAGGTCGGTTTATATCTGCAAGGCTTTTTATATGACCGTCAGGATTTTCAGAAACACTTCACTCTCAATACTTGTCTTCGTAAATAACAATTGTTGTCTCTGTAAATGTTTCACCGAATTATATTTCTTGTCTTGATTGTTAGTAGTCTCTTTCGCAATTTTTTAAAATCGCAATGCCGTTTTTTTTTTCAGTCGTACATGAACATCGCATGCAGGCGTACTCAAAATGCCCCGCGTATCAAACGCGTTTAATGATGACACATAATAAAACCATAAAAAAGTTAAACATAATAAATTCTTTCTTATATTGAAGCGTAACTCTATTTAGAACCGGCTGCCCGTATAGGGAAATTTTAAAGTTAAATAAAAATACTAGGCTTTTTTGAACGTTTTCGCTAAAAGCTCATTATTACCCTGCACAATATATACATAGGAGCAGATTGATCTCACTGAAATCGTGGTATTTTCTTCATGAAAACGTTTTATAATGGTTCACTTCTATAATTTGTTGTGCAAGGGTTAGCGCGTCCTTCGATCGTCGTGATAATTGAATGAGTGCAATTTGTCTTGCAAAATTGTGAAAAATGAAAAACAACCCAATTCAACTGTCCGAAGTCTGTACGATAAACAAAGAGCACCTGATAGTACTGTTTACCTCATATGTGATGTATAAAAAGTATAAAAGGCTGGTTTACAGGCCATCAGATTTGTCGGCAAGAGTTTGTAAAGTAAACTTGTCGAACACAAAAAATCGGGCCTGATTTTTAATTTTGGTCTCCCTTTTAGACAGAGGAGAGCGTGTAAATTGGCTATCGCGTCTTATAACTGGCCTTTAAAATTATATTTCGGAGCTGTCCGATTAACCCTAT